ATACCTATACATAGTAACAATGATAAATTTGCTGACTTTCAACTCTAAATTTAGCAAGAAACGACCTGTTTGAGTGATACAAGAGGGAAGGAAGAATGCAACAAAAGCATAATTTAGTTGGTGCAGAGATCAGGAAATGAAGATATTGGATGACTTGATTATCTTTCTCAGGCATCTGAATGTCCCTTTGAGGGATATCTGGTAGGAGGGGGTGTTGTTGAGGCTGAGATTCCACTTCTGCCACCTTGTTTTCCAAGTTTAACAACTGACATTACTATCTTTTTCAGCTGTTTGAACATCTTAACCTTAATCTGACCCCTCTTTGGAGGGATCCTCACTTCTGGCTTCCTTTCTGGGGTCTTCTGAATTTCCATGGTTTTGAACGGTATAGGAAGCTAATTGCAGAGTTTGAAAAGTAACTGAAAAAAACAGAAAAGAAGATAAAGGGGAGAGAGACAGAGAGAGAGAGAGAGAGAGAGAGAGAGAGAGAGAGTGTACAATGAAAGAAGAAGTTATTTTGGTCAGAGGGTCTCACATAGTTATAGACTCATAGTGTGAACAGGTTGAAATTTCTAATGTGGGTTTCTTTATAAGTATCAAAAATACCTGTCAGCAGAGCTACTGATAAAATTTTACTGATTTAGTAATACTAGTACCATTGATGAGCTCAAAGGCATTTTACAGACTCGAAATTTTCTCATATTTTATGGTCTGACTGGGGACAAAAAATCTTAGTCAAAAAGTCATGAGAAATTCATTACCTTTATGAACTCTATATATATGTGTGTGAGTGTGTTTGTGTATGTCATATCAGGTACTAATCTAATTTATATGCATAGAATCCATTTGTTCATTTATCAATACCAAGTCCATAAATCTGAGATTGAATAGGCCAAAATCACTTGCTTTTTGATGGCATGCATGGCCCTGCTTTCAAAGTGTGATTTTAATTGCCATTCAACAAGTTTTAGTGTTTTAAGGCTGCTTTTTTTTCTTTTTTTTTTCTGAAGAATTTGTGTTCTAATGATCAGTCAGCAGAAGACTGGCAAAATAAACAGTGGACAGGTGTGCATGAATGAGGGGGAAATAATGCAGATATTGATTGTTGAAGTTGACAGTCCATTGAAAGGAGATGCCCAAGAGGCAGTCAAAGTTACCTAATTCCTTGGAATTATCAGGTTCATGCATATCTTTGGAAAAAAAAAAAATTTCCATGCCAAAATTGTCACTTAATGTATTGTCAAACTTTGAGATTTGTATGAGAAGTATCAGCTGCCAAATACGCCAGCATGACACCCTTTGACCTCTGACTGTGATGGAAACTTGAAAAATATTAAAACTTAAAAAGGATAAATCATATAGGTCAGAATTCAAACCTTTCTACATTACCAAACCAATGAAAAAGAAAGATTTAACCTAATGAAGTTGAAGTTTGAAATTGAAAGAAAATTTCAACCCTCTTATCTGGCTATTGAAAACTACAATACCAGTTGCAACAATCATATCTGGCTAAGAATCTACGTGAAAATTTATGCAAAAATAAATAAATAAATAAATAAAGCTGTTGATGCTTAAAAAAAATAAAAGTGTACAAGAAATTTATTAATTTATCAACTGATTGAGACAGATCAGTTAATAAATTCAATGTGGGACATAGCTGAAATCCCAATCTTTTTTAACGAGAAAATACATGATTTGCATTGGATTGGAGTTATAGAACAAAATCTCAAAATTAGATATTAATCATAGTACAAAACTATGTTACTTGGACTTAGGGTAAAGTACTGTGGGTATGATTAATTTTTTTTAAGTATTTTCATATATTTAGAGGGATCGAACATTTATATTTATATTTATCGAATATATGTAAAATATAAATATTTAAAAAAAATTAAAAATATTAATGATTACCATTATTTTTACTTGGATTTGAGGAATCTTTGACTCTCTTTTATCGACATTAATTTTGCACTTTTTTGTCAGTCAAAAATACAAAGTGGAGAGTCCAAGCAAATGCCTCAGAGATCACATGACAATGCAAAGAGAGAAAGATAGAAGGAAGTGAAGCTAAGCTGTAATCTAAAAAGGTAAGGTTACAATGAAAGATTTTTCTTTCAGTCAACATTTCTCCAAATTCAAATTATTTTCTTTCTGCATGTTTCATTGCATTAATCACAGAAAACATTGATTTTGGCTTTGAAATTTCAACTTTTTTGAAAGAGTGAGGCCCATTCCAAATACAAGTTGGTGATGGAAAAACCTTCATTTTTTTTTTTTCTAGAAGGCCATGTGTATAGATTGAATGAATGCATTTGCAGCAAAAATTTTGAGATAATTTTTTTCTGTATATATTTTCACAAACAATTGTTTCTAATATTCCTCTACCTTTAATATAAATTATATTATATTATAAATATTTAAATTTAATTTAATAAACTCTCGCATTAGAATTGTTATTTGTTAATTTTATTTTTTATTTTTAATTTAAATTTAGCAATTAAAATTTATGAATAATTAAAATCACATTGTTAATTACCTATTTATTTTATTCAAACGAACTCTTAAAATTAATAAATTTGTAATAAATATTAAGTTATATTCATATAAACTTTGAAAAAATAAATTAATTTTCTAGTTTTCTTAATAAGATTACAACATTTCCACCGACACTTATTTTTTTTATATCTTTGTAATATTTTTATTTTTATTTGATAAAACTTTAAATAAATTATATTAATTGATCAAAATTTTCTTTTATTTTTTTTGAAGTACCTATATTTGATACATATCTAATGTGAATATAGAAATTGAACAATTTAAAAATAAAAAAAATAAAAAAATTAATATAATTTTATTAAATACATATTATATTTAATATTAACTTTCGAACTGGAATAACATATCAAATGAAAATATACATAATTTTAATTGGCCCACCAATGCATATGTCTACATCACCATTTTCAAGAATAACCCAATTAAAGAATCACAAAAATGAGGATGTCAATGCACTATGTTTTCAAGGTTACATCAATCACCGTTGCTTTAATTACAATAACACACACACACACACACACACATATATATATATATATAACACTAAAGTTTTTTTTTTTTTTATAAGAGAGGTTGCAACCTTAAAGATTGGGAAAAAAAATTATAAAAATTAAGAAGCAAATCTCAATCTTACGAAAATCCACATAAGAAGAGAGACCAATGAATGAGTTGGGCCTAAACCTTAAATATTAAAATTTGATATTTAACAACAAAGTTCCACATCATTTTTTCACATCCATGATGAAGAAGAACAAAATATTTACCTACTTTGGTACTTGTTTATAACATTTTTTTATTGCAAATATTTGCATTTAACTTTTTACCTATAATTCAAGCAAAAACGCCCAAAATAATATGATTTGGAGTATTAAGCCCATATTTACAAATTTTGAGCAGTTTTCAAAAGCCCAATTTGTTACACTATTGCACTGTTCAAAAGTTTAAATGGATCCAGCTTTGACGGGTTTGGGTCGGACCCAATCCAGCCCAAAAATTGTAGAGCTTAGCTAGTTCATGCAACTATTGATTTTTATTATTAAAAAAGGTAACAAATAAAATATATTTTTGAATTTTCTTTAAATAAAAAAATTTCATATTCTTGTTAATTGAGGATTAGATCATATGGAATGCATGTTGGGTTAGAGTTTTGGAGATTTCGGATTTGGGATAATTTAAATTTGTAATATGTTTTTTTTTTAAATAGATGAAAATTAGAGATTTAAAAGTAAGTTAAAAATTAAAAAAAATTCATATTTTTTTATTGTATCTTATATCCATAAATTAAAATTCTAGGTATTCAAAAGTTAGGATTATGATTTCTTCGATTTTAGATAAAACCATTAGAGCAAAATAGGTAGAGATGGTAGTTTGACATGTATATGAATTTCGATTTGACACGATTTTTTAAAGTTAATTTTTTTTTTTAAATCGAATATTGAATTGAGTCAAATGATAAAAAAAAAAATCGAGTTCGAGTCAAATTAGGTAGGGATCGAGTTTTAGACAAACTTGATCTTACCTGGATTCAATATATATAAAAAATTTATTTTTTAATTAATTAAATTTATATTTATATATTTAATTTTATATTTATATTTAAAATAATATTTTATATTTTAAAAATAATATTTTATTAATTTCAAATTAAATCGGATATAATTTAAATATTGATTGGGTTGAGTTCATATATAAAAAAATTAAAAAAATTGAGTCAAATCGAATTTTGATATTATATTTTTATAATCGAATCGAAATCGAGATAAGTAAAAACTCACATCGACTCAACCCATTATCATCCATAAAAATGGGTTATGTTAGTATTAAATTTAGAATACAATATGTTCTCTTTAAAATAAAGTTAGACATTTTTTAATTTACTTAAAGAAATGAACATTAAAAAAAAATGCATACATGAAAGAAAATAACAGCATTACAAAAAAATTTATATTAGTGTGCACAAATAGAAAATTTTTTAAAGTTTACAAATAAGTTTATATGAATTATTTTAAGTATCTATTTTTATCAAATATATGTATGTTTTTAATATGAATTTTTCTAATGAATGCATGTAGATTTAATAATTTGTGTGTTTGTATTTGTTTATTTATTGTTAAAATATATGTAAAATATAAAAATTATAATATTATAATTTGTGATGATATATCAAATAAAAATAAAATTTTTTAATTTTATCAAATATATGTAAAAATTTTATTATTTTTATATTTTTTATCGTATCACTATATTTTTAAAATTACAAAATCGAAAATATAGACACTCGATGACAAAATATGTTTAATTATATTAACTTATTAATATTTTTTATTACTGCCTAACAAAAATGTAAATAATACTAACTTATAAAAAAATTTTAAAAATATATAATAGCCGTAGTCTTTTTTTTTTTTTATTTTTATTTTGCTTATAAAATGAGAAGAAGTCTTCCAATCAGGCGTGCCAGAAACGCATCATCACAGTCTATAAAAATTCTCAAGAGTGGGCCCTTCGAAGCCTCAAAACGGGTTCAAGTTCGACCCGATATCCGATTCCGAGTCCCCCGAAGAAACTAGAAAAGCCTTGCAGTTTTCTTTCTTTTACTAAGTCGGTTCTTCAAAAAAGGAAAAAATTGGGTTCGTTTCAGAAACTTTTTCCTCTCTTCCTCTTCGCTTAATCAATCTTAGCTTCTTCCGCAAATTTCAGGTAAAAACCCTAACGCACACTCTCTATCTCTCTAAGATCCAGGGAAAATGTAACGTTTCTTTTTTTTATTATTATTTAAATTTCGGGTGAATTTTTAATATTTTGTGATTGAATGATTTGACGGAAGTATTATTCTCTGATTTTGAGTGATTTTTTAATGATTTATTGTTATTATTATTATTGTTATTATTATTATTATGAAATATAATGAGTTGTTTTAGTGAAGTTGTGAGTGAGAACATTGGAAATGTTAAGTTAGATTATAATTATGCTAACATTTTTTATTTTTGTTTTTGGCTGACACTTGTTTGGGAAGAAGTGATAAGAAGATGAAGGAAGAGAATTTTGATTTTTTAGTTGTTTGGATTGCCGGAAAGTGTTTATTCGGTAATCCTTTGATGAAATCTCAATGTGTGTATTTTGAAAGGTTAAAAAATGGTTTTCTTCGTCTTTGTGCTTCCAATATCATTTTGATGTACATGCTATTATTTATAGAGGTATAGTTGGTGATGTAGGACTAGTGCTTCAGCATCATGGATCGTGTTGATGATTTCAGGGCTGAACTTTAGGGTACCATAGTTTAAAAAGTATTGAAAATGAAATTGTTCCAAGAAAAATTACTGTATTACAGGGTTGACAACAATATTTTGTGCAAAAACTTAGCTTAGGAGTTCAAAATGCTGGCAGAGGGGATGTTATTTGATGCATAGGTGAGGGTTATTCATATAGTTTCTGTTTTTGTGCTAATTTCTTGAGTATTGATTCTTTAACTATTGTTAGAAAGCTTGTAGAAGGTTCTTTTTATGTCGTAATTATTTATATTTTTAATGCAAATTTCTTGATGATTGATTCTTTAGTTATGGTTATACAGGGAATTATTGTGAAGAGAAATGGACAAGATAGATAACCATGAGGATGAATGTCGGGCTGGAGGTGAACACCATGGCAAACAAGACGATGAGGTAAGATTAATGGACCTAGCGAATTGCATACGAATGCATGAAAAAAATTTACTATTTGACCATTGTTCTTGTTCTTGGAGTGTTTTTTTTCATAAGAAGTTGCTTTGATACAACACATTTTTATATGATTTATTCCAATTGTAGGAAGCCGTTGCTCGTATTGAGGAAATTAAGAAATCAATTGAGGGAAAAATGGCTCTTCGTCAAACCAATTTGAATCCTGAAAGGCCCGGTTAGTAAATTTTACTACATTTTAGGGTTTGTAAATGCCCATTGACTGTTTATGGAGATGGTTAAAATTGTTGACCTGACTTTTATTTTCTATTTTAGTGATTGTAACCTTTGCTGGAAATAAAAATGCTTATATTAGCTGGCAATTCATTCTTAATTCTTATTGACATTTTCTAGAAAGGACCATAGCTTATGGTACTTTTAATAATGAATAGGTCAGTGCTGAGATAAGGCTCCTTTAAGTGGGTTTGTAAACTTATTACTAGATTGTTCTAAATCATTGGGGTTTGGAAGTTAGAAACTCAGGTTTTGAAGCTCCTAGAGAAACTTTTTGTCTTGGCATTTAGACCATTTAAGTCTTAAATCATGCTTCTAATTACTGTTTAGGAATTGAATTCCTTTCTTGCCACTTTCATCTGTGAGATTTCTGGTTATTTCCTTTATTTTTAACCATCCCTTCCACTTGAATCTCCTTGAACTTTCTCTTTGGTGCCCTTGGCCTGTATTGCAAATATTCAAACCATCTAAAACATTCTTCCTTTAGGTTTTCCTAGTATGGTGCTAACTCCACTGTACTTGATAGCTATTTAAATTGCTGGACTTTTGGCCTTTCTAAGCTTTGCCCTTACTCAATTTTTTCTTTCTAATTCATCTTAATTGGTTGTGATTACATATTGTATACTGGTTGTCATCTACAGTATTCCTTCTTATTGTATTGCCATTAAAGCATTCAAAATTTCTATCCTTTTTTTTTTACCATTTCATTTCTATCTAGGGATCTTGATACTTAACTGCTGGGATCTTTTATGTCATATGATATTATATTTCAATAATACGTGGACCAATTATATTGGAATTTAAGAAGTTCATCCTATACAAAAATGTATTAACACTAAATGGGTCTTGAACAAAGTGCTCTTTTAATGTTTTTTAAGATTTTTAAGGAGGCTTCCATGATGATAAGTTATGATGTAAAATTGCTAAAAAATCCATGTAAGTAATTATTGGATTTGTTAAATACCCCAAACTACTGGTTTCTAATATATTTGAGGCTAGAAGATATGAGGACAAAAAAAAGATGTCTGAAGTATTATGCTTGATAGATAGGAAAGCTTTCGGAGAGGAGTGTTGCATTTTCCTTTGGGTTATTTCAATCTTTTAAATTAGGTAATGAGGTACAAGAAAATGTGAGAGAAGATCAGCAATGTGTGACTTTGTAGACTTATCTCTCCTTCATTCAATTAAGGGAAAATGACATTATTTTTCTCTTACCAATCTGAACTGACATAGCAAGCGCATTTTTTGTTCCTTCTTCCTCTTATGCTTATTATTATGGGCAATGGAATTTCATGTGCCTGAAAATCTATCATTTTCTTTCCTTATTTAGCTCACAAAATTTCTGGATTACGTTCAATATAATCTAGGTTGGGGGGCATTTATTTTGGGCTTGGTTACTGTCACATATATGTTAATATGGTTTATTCTTGGTTCTAGATGCTGGGTTCCTCAGGACATTGGATTCCAGCATTAAGCGCAATACAGCTGTTATTAAAAAATTAAAGCAGATAAATGAAGAGCAGAAGGAAGGAATGATGGAGGAGCTGCGAAGTGTCAATTTAAGTAAATTTGTCAGTGAAGCTGTGACTGCTATTTGTGATGCCAAGCTTAAGAGTGCAGATATACAAGCTGCAGTTCAGGTAGCTTTTATGAATGAGTTTGATCTAGACGTTGTATGATTATATATTTTTGATAGATGTGTATTGAGATTATATGATCATACATACTGTTATCTAGTTAATTTGTTGCAAGTACAGGTGTCACAAAAGATCTATGTTATTTCCTATTCAGACATGCAAAGTTAATGGTAATATGTTTGGTCAAAATTTGAAATGTGAACTTTTCTTATATTCTCTTCAGCTGAAAATGATACATGGTTCAGCTGAAAATGATACATGGTTTCACGAGCCAAAATCTAAGGACTTGAATGAATCATAGCAGTGTAAGTAAGTTAATTAAGCAGCAAGCATTTAGGTGATTTTGATTTAAATAAGAAAGAAAAAGAAACCTGTAGTCTTCTTGTCCAAGTGAATTGAAGTAGCTTGTATGAGTCATTGTTTACATCCTCCAATGTCTTTGTGTGTACCTATTAAGCTTTAGCTAGCAGACTTTAGTTTTAATGATGATCCAATAATTTAAGCTATGAAAATTGTTTCTTGCATACTTTCAAAGATCTATAGAGTATCCTAGTCTGGTTCTTACTATATTCATAATCAACTTCTTTGTTTTTTACCTTTATCCTTTTTTACATACATACATATATAGTTTATGTTACCTATAGCATGATTTTTGGTTTGTAATTGACGAAATTCTTGCAATTTTCTTGTTATATAGAGTTCTCATTACTGTTGGTAGTCTGTAAATGTGTTCATGAATATGGGTAACATTTACATTCCTTCATATTATAAAGGTTATGCATATTTGTGACATCTGTATCTGCATGAATGTTAGTAATTGTCTGAAACTTTGCTGGTTTCTTTTATATTGAATTCTCTTCATTTGCCACGATTGATAAAGTTGCCTGCTCAAAGTTTTTAAATGTACTAATGGATATAGTTCAAATCTATTCCTTGTACTAAGAAGAATATACTTCTGTGTAACATCTTTATCAGTATGTATGCCCTCTGCTGATGTTTTCTAACTAGCTTTTGTTGTATGCTGAAACTTTTAGCAGTATTAGTTTGTTGGTAATTTTTTGTCATCTACCTATCTTATGATACTTACTGTTGTTATCTGTCAAAGATCTGCTCTTTGCTTCACCAAAGGTACAAAGATTTTTCACCAAGTCTGGTACAAGGGCTCCTGAAAGTCTTCTTTCCTGGAAAATCTGGGGATGATTTGGATGCAGACAGGAACTTGAAGGCAATGAAGAAGCGTAGCACTTTAAAACTTCTTCTGGAACTTTACTTTGTTGGAGTTATAGAAGACAATGGAATCTTTATCAATATCATTAAGGATCTTACTAGCACAGAGCACTTGAAGGACCGAGATGCTACTCAGACAAATTTGACTCTTCTTGCTAGTTTTGCTCGACAAGGGCGAGTATTTCTAGGACTTCCACTTTCTGGTCAAGAAATTCAAGACGAGGTGCATCTTTTTTTGGTCTTAAAATGGCCTGATATTTCCATCTTGGATTGTTTCTTTGAAGCTATTATGACTTTTGCATTTTCAATTCTAGGTTATTTGTAGCTTAGATATTGTTAGTGGCAATTTGCCCTTTGATATGGCTTCTACGCTGACACTTTGCTACAGTTCTTTAAGGGGCTTAATATCACATTGGATCAAAAGAAAACTTTTAGGAAGGCATTTCATTTATATTATGAAGCTGTCACTGAACTTCTTCAGTCTGAGCATGCGGTAAGCTTTTGCAATTGGAAATATTATCTTTAGAGGCAATAAATCTTGAGGTTCTTATTTGGACTTCTCTTTAGGCACATCTTTGTTCTATACATAATTAGTTGGAATGCTTGATTCTTTCATTATCTTTTTCTTTCTTTCCCACTTGCCCTAATTGATGGGGGTATGCATTTATAGTCGCTTCGTCAAATGGAGCATGAGAATGCCAAGATTCTAAATGCTAAAGGAGAGCTCAGTGAAGAAAATGCATCTTCGTATGAAAAGCTGCGAAAATCTTATGATCATTTGTACCGCAACGTCTCATCGTAAGTTGCTTTATGATGTCATTTTCATGGTTCTTTATTCTAGAGGCAACTAGCCTATGGGTCAATCAAATGATATTAAGATTTTTGTGGTGATTATGGTATCATATAATTTGTTCTATATATTAATCATAGATATTTTGATCATGCCTGAACCACGAATAATGATGCTTTTTTAACGAGCTTATGAGCATTTTTTAAGGAAACTTTATGAGCATTGAGTAATGATGGAGTTCTATTCTTACATTACTCTCTGTTTCCAGATAAAGAATTATTTTCTAAGGATCAAACATCTGCTACATTACTACCAATCAGCATAAACGGAACAGAATATAAATTGCCATATTCTTACCATAAATATTTAATTATTCTATAGTTTTATATTAACAGAAAATTGTTGGAGACCAAGCCTCTGCTAAATAAGTCCTAATTGGCATAAGTGGAACTGATTATACTTTTGTGCTTTTCAAATCTTATACATTTAGCTGCTACTAGTTGTTATGTGCACTACATATGAACTAAGGTTTGTATTTTTAAAGCGTTTGTCAAGAAAGGTGTAGGTGTGGGAATGATTAATTCAGGAGCTTACTTAATCTTTGGATGCTCAGTTGAGGAGTTGCAGATTACTTATGTTAGGAATAACTATTTTTTGGGTTGTGCAAAAACTGGAACCAGTGAAGACAGCCTGCAGAATAGGTTTACTGGTATTGTTTACTTAAACCTTAATTTCTTGAGATTAGAGCCCCATGTGGTAAGCGAAGATGATTTCTGGTAATGCCAAAATAAGACTATTCCTGCTGAGGTTGGAGTGATATCACTGATTTCTGAATTTGGAAAAATTCATTAGATTAAAGATTATGGTTCATAGTGTGAAGAGTGTGATTGTTGGCAAAGCATAAATAGTAGTAATTGATTTTTCCCGGATTTCTTTGGATTATAAATGTTCCCTCAGATAATTTGAATTGCATGTATCCCAAGATAGCTCTTACATTACCATGTCTAGGAACTAGATCTGTTATGAGATTGTGATCCACCCACTACTATTTGCGCTTTCTTCTGTTGCTTGAGCAATTCTATCAAGAATTGTGCTTGGGATCTAAAAATTGTGGCAGAAATGTTGGTTTTGATCTCAAGTCAGTGGTCTCTTTCATGGATTTTTAGATTTATTCATGTGGCTGTACAGCAGATGATTGTATAAAGATTAAAGAGAAATATAATTGTGGTGAAGTGTTGTTCTATTTGTCGAGATCAGTGAGGGATCAGTTATTTATTTTAATATTTTAATAACACCTCTATGACGTTGGAACTTTAGAACTCAGTTTTTTTCACAATTTAGGGTCTCTTAGGTCTTGCCAAAGTCAGTGTCGAAGATGCTAAAACATTGTACTACTTTCAGATTTGTACTACTACTTCCACCTTGCTTTTCAGAAATTTTTAGAATTTTCTCCTATTAAATTTACTCATTCTCAAGCATGCCTCTTACATCTAGATTAACTTTTATATGAGCTTTTAATTGGCTTTCTTACTTTAAAAAAAAAAAAATTCATAACTGACTTGTCTTCTTTTAAAAGAAAAACTAAATTCAATTTTTTTTAATCCTTATATTGCAGTTTAGCAGAAGCACTTGATATGCAGCCTCCAGTCATGCCAGAGGATAGTCACACGACTAGGGTTACTACTGGAGAGGATGCTTTGTCTCTGGCTACGGGAAAAGAGTCTTCTAACCTTGAAGCTATATGGGATGATGAAGACACTAGAGCTTTCTATGAATGCTTACCAGATCTCAGGTATGTTTTGGTCATTATTCAATTAGTTAAGAAGAGATTTTCTCAATAGGGTCTTTTGTTAATGGTCTCTTTGGTAGTAAAAGATGCATTTGCTTGCTGTTAAGAGCATTGTGTACATATTCTTCTCAGAGCTTTTGTACCAGCAGTATTATTGGGAGAAGCTGACCCCAAGGTGATTGAGCAAACATCAAAGGCACAAGAGCAACTGACTGTAAGTAGATCAAGATTTTAAATATCATTGTAGGCTTTCATCTGTGGTTTTATACTCTGATAATGCGCTGTGCTTTCCGTGTTACATTTCAAGTTTTGGTTGAGTCAAGAATCAGCTGATGATGTTCTGACATTTCATGTTTAATGCTCTCCTGCTCCACCAATCATTACATACCATGATCCATATCTTTGCAGTTGAAAATATGAAAATACTCCTTGTGCTTAAAACTAACGAAATCTGATAGTTTGTCAAAAAACAAAATATAGAAATTTAATAGATAAGAGGCATTTTGATGTAAAGAAACACAAAGGCAGACTGAACCATTTCTTAATTTCTTAACTGCCGTGCATCCAATCCTATGCCAGAAATATTGTTTCCTTCTTTTTTTTTTGGTGGTGGGTGGGTGAGGGTGAGTCAGTTTTCTAGATTTATTGATTAAATTTGGTTTTCGTGAGCTCCCTTGTGACAGATTCTATTTAAGACTCCTAAATAGTCCATCTCTATTTAATGTTTATCTAATTATTCTTTTATTTACCTTTTAGGAATCCTCTACTGAAGCAGATCAAAGTAAATCAGTTGCACAAGATGCTGTGGAGCCTTCTGTGGACTCTGGCAATCTGCAAGAAGGGGAAAGTATAGAGAAAGGGAAGGATAAGGAAAAGACCAAAGATCCAGATAAGGAGAAAGGGAAAGAGAAAGAAAAGGATACTGATAAAAAAGGGGAAAATGAAAAGGAGAAGCTCAAAGGTCTTGAAGGGACCAATTTGGATGCTCTACTGCAAAGACTCCCTGGTTGTGTGAGCCGTGACCTTATTGATCAACTGACAGTAATTATGCCTCCTTTTTCAGTGTTGCTGTTTTATGCCACTTTTTGATGGGCCTTTATGTGACTCTAGAAGAATATTGAATTGTACATTAAAATTTCAGGTGGAGTTCTGTTATTTGAATTCAAAATCAAATCGGAAAAGGCTTGTGAGAGCATTGTTTAATGTCCCAAGGACGTCTTTGGAGTTGCTGCCATATTACTCACGCATGGTTGCGACGTTGTCAACTTGTATGAAGGATGTTCCCTCTATGCTCTTGCAGATGTTGGAGGAAGAGTTTAACTTCTTAATTAATAAAAAGGTTTGCTGCCATCAGTCTCCTTGTTATATTTGTAACTGTCTTCTGTTTGTACATCCATTTCCATTTTTCGAGTGTATATAACTTATATTTCAAAATTGAAATTTACTACAGGATCAAATGAACATTGAAACAAAGATCCGGAATATTAGGTTTATTGGAGAACTCTGCAAGTTCAAAATTGCACCAGCTGGCCTTGTCTTCAGCTGTCTGAAGGTATGTGCAAAGCAGCAAACAGATAAATGTTGGTTGCTATCCTAGTGCTTGTTCCTATGATGATATTTCATCTTATGGGGGAGTTTATGAACTTTTTGAAGGAAATAGAAATTCGTAGCAATCAGTTTTATTTCTCTCATTTTCAAATGTCTTATAAGTTTGTATACCCTATAAATGTGAACATGTTTGAAAACATACAGTTTGTTTCCAATGCTTGCTTATTCTATTTTTCTTTTGTACCAGACTTGTTTGGATGATTTCACTCATCATAACATTGATGTCTCTTGCAATCTTCTTGAGACATGTGGTCGTTTTCTATATCGTTCTCCTGAAACTACCATAAGAATGGCTAACATGTTGGAGATATTGATGCGCTTGAAAAATGTAAAAAATTTGGATCCTCGACATAGCACACTTGTAGAAAATGCTTACTACCTATGCAAACCACCTGAAAGATCTGCACGGGTCTCTAAAGTCCGTTCTCCATTGCACCAGGTATAATTTGCTTTTCCTGTTAAGATATTCTACCTGTTTTTATGTTAAACCTCCATACTGAGTTATGTCAAATTCTTTTGCAGTATATTAGAAAATTGCTATTTACGGACCTTGATAAGTCTTCCCTTGAGCATGTGCTGAGGCAACTTCGTAAATTACCATGGAGTGAATGTGAATCATACCTCTTAAAGTGCTTCATGAAGGTCCACAAGGGGAAATATGGTCAGATTCACTTGATTGCTTCTCTCACTGCTGGTTTGAGTCGCTATCATGATGATTTTGCTGTTGCTGTAGTCGATGAGGTTTGCTTCTTGAATTCAGACCTTGTTCTTATTGAGTTGATATTTCATTTTCCTGTATCTATGTTATCTGGATTTTCAAAGGACTCACTACTCTATATCATTGTGTTTTTTATTTGTGTAGTAGCGGTATATTCCCCTTAGGATCCACAATTTGCACTTGCTGAAATGGCAAGAAATGGTGGCCTGGAACATATGGTTCTATGACATATGTTCTTCATGACATATTAAAATTCCTTTTGGTGTATAACTTTTGTGAACAGCTGAAACACTATGGGGATGATTTGAAGAAAACCAATTAGGCTCTTTTATTTGAGCTCAATGTATTATTTAAGTTGTAGAGTTTTGTTTCATAATCAATCTGCCTTGGGTTTGAGGTGAATCTAAGGTGAAGGTCTAGTCAACATGATATGATATGATGGTGTTGGGGAGGTTTCCTTGGATTATGCTTAGAGCTTCTATTCTTTTGCTTCATTGGGATGGCAGGCTGCAAGAAAGCAGATTCTCATGACCTGGATTGTTATTTGGTTTTCCTATCAATGATTGTAGTTAGATATTGCTGTTTGTCTGGAATATAGCTTACTTGCAGAGAAAATATGCTTGGAGAGTGCTGCTCCTTGAGAAGTTTTTGATATTTTTAGGGTTCGACTAGGCCTTCTCATAATTAAACTTTTTACCATACTAGATGTTGGACTCCAATGTGAGATTTGGTTAACTATGTTGGAAATATTGGGATTTTCTAAAAATATATAGTTTGTAACATCAGAACCTGCTATTTTCATTAAGTTTACTTTCTTGGTTTCTGAGAAATTTGTGCTTATTTTGTTGTGGTATCATCTTTCCCATGGATGATTATAGCAAATGCTTTTCATGCATAATCTTCCTTATGGATAAGAGTGGAAGCATGCATAGCTATAGTTTTTCTTTTTCTTTCTATTTTTATATATATTTTTTAATTTCTGGTTTAAGTTTCAGTAGTTATATTCTTTACTTTCAGGTTTTGGAGGAGATTAGGCTTGGCCTGGAATTGAATGATTATGGGATGCAGCAGAGACGCATTGCTCATATGCGTTTTCTTGGGGAGCTATACAACTATGAGCATGTTGATTCTTCTGTCATCTTTGAAACACTTTATTTGATTCTTGTTTTTGGCCATGATACAGCCGAGGTATTGAGTTATCCCATTTATTGTTGTAAGTATCAATTACGTAGGGATATGCAGGCTCTTAATCTCTCTCTCTCTCTCTCTCTCTCTCATTACTTTAATCTCTCAAAAATATCCTCACTGGTTTTGTTCCTTGAACTTCTTTATGGATGCATTCAAACAGTAAACGTAAAGTTGTAGGAACAGATCTGCTTATGCTGCCTATTTTGGGCTTTATAGTAGGTTAGTTTTAGGGATTTCAGGGTAAAGGCTATGGAAGGTTATGCTTTAGGAATTAGTCAGGTTTGATTCAAATAAGACTTGATCTCTAAAGAGGACTGGAATTGAAGAAAAAGTTCACAGGGATTTCTGGTTAGCGGAAATCTAGGATAAATCAGGCTTGTGAATGCTGTGAACAGGGACCCTTAGAATATTGTAACAAGAAAGAAAGAGGAGAGTGCACAATATCTTCCTAGACACCCAAGAAACAATTTAGTAACAAGTAAATAACCAACTTGGTATCCAAGAGAATAAACTTGACTCCTGCAGACTCCTAGGATATTTAAACTATACAAGTAACATGCTTAACTGTAGGGTACAGAGTTTGCAGAAATTATGATATTACCTTTGAAGAGTATAATACGGAATATTCCGAACAGAAAATCCTAAATTCCTAGAATTGAAGTTATGTAGAGAAAAGTAATAATTAAGGCTTTCAATGGCTACACAATTAATGGTTAGGAAAAACGACAGTCCATAAACTTTTAAAAGATTTTATTATTATTATTAAGTGTGAGATTTAGCCGTGAATGTCATTAATTACATTTTAACTAGTAATATGATTTATTTATCTGTGTTGGTAGCAAGATGCCCTTGATCCACCCGAGGATTGTTTTCGAATCAGGATGGTTATTACTCTTCTTCAGACATGTGGGCACTACTTTGACCGTGGTTCTTCCAAGAGAAAACTTGATCGATTCTTGATACACTTTCAGAGGTATATTCTTAGCAAGGGTGCATTACCACTGGATATTGAATTTGACTTGCAGGTAACCAAAAACACACTATTGTAATACTTTTTAGAATTTGTCATTTGGAGCTAATCATGGAAAAAAGAATGTTCTTTTTATGGTGCAATCCATGCCTGTAGAAACTATTAGGAATAGTAGCATAGTACTATGTTTTATGTTTGTTAGTCCTTTGATCTTGCTAGTTTGGAGGTGTTTCACAATAATCACAATTGACCGTTATCCATGCAATATTTTAGCAAATTTATCTTGCATTAGTGTAGAATATTCAATAGTCTGTATGATCTCCACTTGATTGGTTATAATAAAACTTATGCTGTGCTGGCAAAAATAATGAAGCTTCCTTTATAATATACTAATTAGTTTTTCCTTTTGTATACTTCATACTGAGAATGACTGCCTGTGATATGTAAATCTGATAAGCTGACAAGTTGAAGAATATGCAGGACTTATTTGCGGAGTTACGTCCCAACATGACCCGGTATTCATCCATGGAAGATGTGAATACAGCTTTATTTGAACTTGAGGAACGTGAACGTACTGCTTCAACTGACAAGACAAGTAGTGAGAAGCACTCTGATACTGAAAAGTCTTCTTGCAGGACAACTGCCAATTCCATCTCATTTGATCGACCAAGCATGTTTAATGGTTCTGAGGAAAATGGAGTGCATGAGGAAATTGGTGACAGTGACAGTGAATCAGGAAGTGACACCTTTGAACCAGAGGGACATGATGAAGATGATTTGGATGAAGGGAATCATGATGATGGATGTGATACCGATGAGGAGGATGACGATGATGGTGGACCTGCTTCTGATGAGGATGATGAAGTTCATGTCAGGCAGAAGGTGGCAGAGTTGGATCCTCTAGAAGTGGCCAATTTTGACCAGGAGCTCAGGGCTGTAGTGCAGGCAAGCTTTTGTTTGTTTTTAATTATTACCATATTTATTGTCTATTCTATTTTAGTATTTATGTAATTGAGAATATACATGTCAAAACATCTGCTATGCTAACTTCTGCCGATATTAATTTTCTGTCTAATGTGGTTTGCCGGGTTCAAATTGAGTTAGGAAGAAATAGTTGGCTTTGCTGTCCATTTGAACTCAATTTTAAATGCAGGAGAGCATGGAGCAACGCAAGTTGGAGCTAAGGGGCCGACCTACATTAAACATGATGATACCAATGAATTTGTTTGAGGGTTCTATCAAAGATCATCATGGAAGGGTAGTTGGAGGTGAAAGTGGTGATGAAGCATTGGATGAAGAGACCGGAGGAAGCAGAGAGGTACAAGTGAAAGTTCTTGTGAAACGAGGGAACAAACAACAGACCAAGCAAATGTATATTCCTCGTGATTCTACTCTTGTCCAGAGCACAAAACAGAAAGAAGCAGCTGAGATTGAAGAGAAACAAGACATTAAGAGGCTAGTCTTGGAGTATAATGACAGGGTAGAGGAGGAGAGTAATGGGCTTGGAACACAGACATTGAATTGGCCAAGTGGAAATAGCAGAGCTTACGGCCGTGGAAACTCATGGGAAGGATCCAGTGGGAGGAGTGGAGGACCACGTCATCGGCATCATAGCCATTCAGGAAGTGGAGCTTATTATGGCAAAAAAAAGTGAGTTTCATGGTAGAATGTAGAAAATTTCAACTTTGCATCATTGTATTTGCGCATATGTTGCTTACAAATAGAGAAGGATTTAGAACACCATTGCCATGAGCTATCACTGAACAGCCAGATGGGTGAATGATCTTTTCAGGTCCGATTTAAAATTGAATTTTCATAATACAATGTTCCCCTGCGACGGCAATCGTACCTTTCTGCAAGAGGATTACTGTTTTATCAATGTCCTCATACATGCAAGGTCAATGTACATCTGACCTGATTTGTTACTGTAGGTAGTGTTAATTGTCAATACATACAAAACTGCGTATGATTTTCGAGATGATGAACTGAAGACAAGCTTTCTGAGTCCTGTAATTATAGTGGTTCCTGTATTTGCTATTGTATATCGTTTTGAGCCCCCAAGTGAGGGTTAGAAGAAGACTTCTGTTTGATATAGAAATTATCAGATGGCACTTATTTGGTCGGATGGTGCCTGTTTACCAGAGTTGTACTTCAATTTAGAACACTTTCTCGAGCACCACCATGAAAATCCCTGCTCTGGTTGATTGGCAGGATGATCACTCCATTAGATCAGGTGTTTTTGGGTGTCTCTCTTTAGAAGCACTACATGACGTTAAGTAAACTGGAATCGAAAATTTTGCTCAATTGGAATAGTTTTCTGGTTGCAAATTGAACTTGTGCAAATTCAATGCTTCCCATTTTTAGTTACACTATATATCTCTGTTGACATTCGGGCATTTGGTTCCGGCTCAGTGATTGGCAAAAGATTTTTCACTAGAATGTAGTTTTACCTAAACAAATAGAAAATTGGGCCAATGGAGCCCAACAAATATAGAGTCCAAATTTAAAAAAAAAACCATTAATTTCATTCTTTTGGGCTTTATTTAGTTACAATTTCAGTTTCAAAACCTAACCAATCTCTTGGGTGTACTATTTCTTTTCTAATTTACTATTATGAGTAAGGTATTGTAATTCTAATAAAAAATCAATGCAAACATCTACGACTTTTTTGAATTGTAAGCACTAAACCAAGGACTCTTGACTAAAATGAGAATTTCCTTACACTAACCTGACTTGTGGCCCCCAATTGATCGATGGTCAAAAAGTCCAAGAATGATGCAAAATCAATACTAAATCTTATCATAATATAAAGTCTATAGCTATCAAAATATTTTGGTAATTTTTTTGGCCAATAAAATATTTTGGTGGTTTCAATAGGACAGAAATCCATCTAAAAATACTTTTTCAAATTAAACTAACATTAAATCCTTTTAAATTAGAGTTTTCATTTACTCCACACAAGAAATAAAGAAAAATATAATATATTTCTTAGAAAGGAAAAGGCAAGAAACAAACTTTGGTGTTTGGGAATTTGGTTCTCCATTTTCCTTATGAGTATAAACATTTCTAAAATATGCCTGACATTGCCTATTGGGTGTCAAACAAAAAAAGAAAATTATTCTATGTTTAGTTTTTTACAGCTAAGACATGTGTGCCATAAATCCAACATGTGGGCCTAATTTTTCCATTTTTGGGTATGGGAAAGACCCACTTCACCTTTTTTTTTTTTCTTGTTGATTTATGTGTGAATATTTCACATGTTCTTTCTAAAAGAGGAAAAAAAAGGGAAAAAAAAAGAGAGGAATTTTTATTCATTCTTTCTCCAATAATATTTGCACCAATTTTTTTTTTTTTCCAATTCATCGAAAAATTGAAGGATAACCTAAAGAAGCAAAGTACTAGTTTGACGTGTTGAGTGCTCCTAGACTGAGAAGAATTCTCCTCTTCTCTTTTGGTAAACGCTTAAAAGGAAAATTCTATTTCCACCATCTACAATAATTGTTTGAAGAAATTATTTTATAAACTCTAGTCAAAAGATTTTATTTGACTTTCTTTTGTTTTTTGCTATAGATTTTTTTATAATATAGTTTTAACTTACATATGTACCCTTTCTCTTTTCCTGTTTATGGAACACGAGAAAACTTGCAAAGTGCAAAACATATATGGGCAAAAATTTTAGATTTGTTTGTTGAGTAGGACTTCAAGTTGTGAATGGTAATTATCAAGATATGGCAATCTTGATTTAGAATTTTTTTGGTTTGAGAATAAAAAAAAATATAGATGTTGAAATATAAATGTTAAACTTATTAAATGTTATTTATTAAAAATAATTGTATGAATCAACTAAATTAAATATTAGATTCATCTTTTGATTTAGTTGAGAATCATAATTTTCATAAATTTTCAATTTCAATAAAATTTGTAAATGTTAATTCTCTTATTTTCATCTTGAATTCTTTTTAATGAAATTATATATATTAATAGAAATTACAATCATCTATTGAAATTACATGTAAAGAGAAATCAATAAATATATCAAACTAAAAACCGACAAACCAAGATATAATTTGGAGGAAACCCATAATTAGACGAAATTTATACCTAATAAGATTTAAACCTAAAATTTAAAAGATTATAAGACCTTTTTTTGGTAATACAAGGAGGTGTATCTTCAAATTTTTATTTGTGTTTAATCCTTCATTTAGATGATTTTAAGCAAAATGGTCAAAGAAACCCTAATAAAAATTCAATAATTATTTGAGTTTTTAATATTTTACTACAATCAATCAAGTTCTGAATTTTTTATTTTTATCCAATTGAACCCTTAAATATTTATTTTCACCTAATTACACCCTTAAACATCTATTTTCACCTTAATTGAACTTTGATTAGATGAAAATTTTCACCTTACTTTCATTTAATAAAGATTTAATTGGTGAAAATAGATGTTTAAGAACTTAATTGATTGCAATAAAATGATAAATATTTTTGTGATTATTGAATTTTTATTCGAGGATTTTTTTATCTTTTAACTTATAATTTTATTAAGGACATAATTTTTGACAAAGGCTTCTTCTTTAGCACCGAGACTAAATCTCATTAGCATCTTTAGATTTGTTTTATTGTAAAAATTGTTTTTATCTAGAAAATAGATTAAATTATGTTTTTTTTTTTCCCGGGGGGGGTTGTGTGGAGATAACAAAATGGCCAATGAATGAAATGCCCTCTTCATTTTTGTTTTCAGTTATCACTAGAAGACATTGCTTTTCTTGTGAACTTACATAATAATCAAGGAAAAAATTGCAAGAGTCAATCATTAATCTAACAATTTATTTTTCGTGATCCATGTTGATTAAAATTTCATCAAAATATCATTTTTTTAGAAAAAATTGAGAAAAAAATAAAAAAAATATATCCAACATTTAGACTATATCACTCAAATTTTAGGCCAAGGCATTGCAAAAATAGTAATATTTTGCACCAAACTAATTACCCAATGTCTAATTATAATTCCATTTATTAAAATAAATAGGGATAATATCAAGAATGACTCCTAAACTATAATAAAATGTTCATATTTATAACAATGATTATTTGTATTTTAATAAATATAATAAATAACAATGATTATTTATTAACAAAAAAAGAAATATCTATATATAAAATTAATAAAAGGAAATATTTATATTTATATGAAAATTAGTAAAAAGGAAATTAAAATCATTTTTATATTTTTTATATGAATGTAGATTTTTCATTAATTTTACTTATATACATTTTTTATTAATTATTTTTTATCATAGTAAAATAATTAATAATTTTATTAATTTTCACATAAATTTAGACATTTGATTTCTTATGAATTTTATATATTACTATTTTTATAATTATTTTTAATATGGTATTAATCAATAAAATTTGTTGTTAGACTATCTTTTTTTTAAAGTTTTTTTTTTTTTTTTACACATATATGCATTTTTTTGTCATATCATTGTCCACATGCAACATGTCATTTATATAAGGGTAGAAGAGTTTTGATAATAGAAAATAAGAGTTTAGAGACTTATTTAGATAACAAAATAGTATAAGGGTTTAGTTAGATTGTTTTGAATACTTCAAGGGTTTTTTTTTTTTTTTTCCATATTTTAGCCCCAAATTAATAAATTACTTATTTAAATATTATCGTATGTGGGCATCCATTTTAATTGATGATTTTTAATAAATAATTGTATAATTAGATATAAAAAAAGAGATTGTAGGTACTAAATTTTAAATCTCAAATATCTTGAATGTCATATTTTAAAAATTACTGTATGAATTAACTGAACTAAATATTAAATATGAAATTAAGTGGTTAGTCTCAAATAAAGCTTAATACAAAATTAATCATCTCATATTAAGCTAATAAATTTACAAAATTAATCATCTATGTCCCTATTGGGTCCCCACTACATTCACGATGTTTTGATTTATAAAATTAGGTTGAAAGTTAGTACATAAAAATATTGAGATATGAGTAGGGACCCAATGGGGATGTAGATAATTAATTTAGCAAATTTATGATCTTTATACGGATTTTCTATAAGATGTTGGTAATTGATATGGTTAGTTGGTATTAATTTGTAAATTTTTTAATATTTTATCCCTTGATATGAAATTTTATTAGGTTTTATATGAATAATTGGCCAGATATCTTCTCTACCATCCTAGTTAGTTGAGGAGAAAAAAATAAAAAGAAGAATAATCTTAAAAATACCTTATAAATGGATTTATTCCTCACTAATAATATAAAATCAAAATAATAGAAAACACATCTTTTTTTTTATTCTTTTTTTTTATATATAAAAGATTGTAATATGATAATAGAGAAAAAGATTGTAAATATTAAATTTTGAATTTAAGACTTATTGAATGTTACTTTTTAAAATTGATTGTATGAATTAAATAAGCTAAATCATTATATTATAGAGAATTATGAAATATACAACTATATAAGCATGACTTAAGTATAAACAAGTGAAACTCATTTAGATTTATAGAAAAATGTAATTTTGTATAAAAATTAAAGTTAAAAAGAACTTGTATATGAAAATTTTAGTATAATAATCTATAAATATGGTTTAAAATCTAATTAAAGCATTTTATTCGTAAATTCAATTTTTAAAAATAAAAAAGTGACATACTTATGATATACAATTTGATACTTTTTATTTTTTTCTTATTAATTTATCTCTATAAAATTATACATACATGAATAAATAATTATAAATAAATAAAAGATAAAAATATTTTAAGAAAATCAAATTCATTCAATGTAATAACACAATCTTGCATAAAGATATTATAAAAATTCATTATAATATATGTGTAAAAATTTAAACTCATATTTATAAAATATTTTTTATGAAATCAAATTATAAAATTAAATAAATAATATTTCATAAATTAGATATAAATTTTTATATTTAATATATTTAATTTCATACTTATTATGCAACAAACCATTTTATTTTTGAAAACAAAAACAAAAGAAAAAACAAAAGAGTGCCTTTTCCTAGGAAAAGGCTCTCCATTTCTACATGTTTTTTTTCTCTTTCAACAAAAGCCACCAAACAAACAGTGAGTGACACTTTCCCATTTTTACAACACGTGCCGTAAGAAAAAAAAAAAAAAAAGCCAAAATAATGGCAATTGTGTAAATAAAACGAAGTATCTGACCGAAAACATATGAATTCAGGCGAAGACTTTGGTACGAGAGGACGACATGAAGCCACGTTACCTAACACAAGTACACCATATCCATTAATTTCTTATCAGCTTCAATCAAATAAAATATTTTATTTGCTTTTTATCTTTTATTATCATTATTGTGTTAATTTTTTATTTTAAATTATTTAA